CGAGGTTTAGTCGTTGCTTAGCGAAAACAACTTAAAGCTTCAGCCGCATTCTATAGCGTATCGACGAGGGAAGCAGTTGACGAGAGATGGAACAACGTTAACTGGCAAGCAGGTGATCTAGCCATTCACAGCCGGAGCTGACGTGTCGTTCAACTAACATGCGGTATAATGATATTTAGATACCCGTACTTGACACCATGACGATAAACAAACGACTGGACGAATAATGAAGAACAGCTTCTGGATAATGGTGGCAAACTACTTCCAATTCCTTTTGTAAAGCACCTTGCGTGCGCTGGGAATATATAAACGAATCTCATTTTTCCCACCTTGGCTGTATGTTAGCAACAACGACCGTATTTGCCGCATGAGCAAAACTATCAGACCCTAATCTAAAACGACCATAGCAGTACATATAATAGCAACACGGCACATTTAATAGCCTTCAATTCCAAATAGAGAAGCTTCTGAATTCGTATTCCTTCTCGCCAGACGCAACTTAGAATGAACTTACATTAGCACTGGCACTGACCTCCATATAAATTACGCTTGGGTCTCTAATCTCATTTTTTAATTCAATATGTTTGCTTAGGGATCTATTCAGTGTTTACTGTTGCTGAAAACATCGTATTCGGGACACGACGCGGCAGACTGCATTCTGACAAGTTAACTTAAGCACTGAGAACAGGCGGCACGATCGTTCTTGCTTATATGCATCTCACACGGCAAGATATATCGGCAAAAGGCATTGAATATCAAGTTGTTCATGGTACGCTTACCGTTCGAAGTGCTCCGAAGATTTGCAAGAAAAAAAAGAAAAAAAAAAACTAACGAAGTGTAAAAACAATGCCAAAGTCACCGGGATGACTAAATGCGCTTTGAAGGCCTCTGAGTTATCACCTGTCCAGAAGTTGAATACAGGAGTGTGTAAGGAACTTTTTAAATCCATAGACGATTACATCCGACTGTAAACGGTGGAGCAGACAATAGGGGGGTAGGAAAAATCAACAAATTGTTCGGCTTTTGTCGCGATGACGAATGAACTCTTTCGTCCCTTAGACACTTCTCTGGGCGGGAAAGCATCGTGGCCATCACCGCCACGTTTTGTTTGACGAGTACCCAACGTCCCGGTTGATCGGCAGTTGTAGTACGCTTTTTCTTTACGCACTCTGTATCTATACTCTTTTATCATCTAATTAGCAAATGTGAAATTATTATTGTCACAAGTGGATACGTATGTGTACGTTTGTACGGGTGGAATGCGTTTTTCACACGGCCAAAGTTTAAGTTGCTGCGTTTTGTAGTAACGTCTTATTGTTAGAATTAGATTTAGACACGGTACCAGGAGCTCATGCCTTTCAGACCGCTTTCATCTGCTACTCCCAATGCGTGTATAATCGCTAACGATATCCGATAATAAATGACGCAAGTGTACAAGCAGACAGAAGAACAGACCTATAGTTAGAAAAAAGCGTAGGTCAAGCGGTACCTGCTCCAACAGGGAACCTAAAATAATTCCTTTGCAACACAAAGATCTTCTCACCGTAGGCGAAGCCGTTAGTTACTCTGTTTGTCCTTCGTGTTAATAATGTCATTTTTTTACCCACTCGATTATTTGTATTTTGATCCTAATATGGTCAGGATATGACTAGGTTATATACTGCTGTTACAGAGTTGTAGCAACTTTCGGGTGGCGCTATCATTAGAGTAAGCTAGTATAAAGTTCTCTCATTAGCTCGCGGCGGAATATTGCCTTATTTTGAATGAGAACAAAAATGTTTGCCCAAACAGCTTCAGTCAATAGTATACTAGCCGTTATGAACGATGACCCTTGTCCATCTTGAAAAGTGCTTTTCAATTCAGTTCTCCTAGAAGCTCATGTTTTTCTTTGCGTTGGTCAGTATGATTATCAGGATAAAGGACAGCTTCTCTTATGTGCGCTGTAACAGGCCATTTCTCTTGGACGGATTGTCCTAAACGTTCTAGCAGTTATTCCTCGTGGCATCTGCAACGAATCAAGTACGGCGCCAAAAAAATACGAAAAAAAAAAAAAAAAAAAAACACACAACGCTCTAATTACGGTGAATAAGCAGTTTTCCTTCCCCGCGTAACTTGGCTTGTCGCGCTAAAACTTAAGTAAATTTTGGATCGGCTACGAACCTATGAGGCAACCCAATGCAATAGTTGTATGTTGTGTACGCATTTAATACATATTAACTCTACGATGAACTTTCATTATTTATAGTTCTACAACTGCAAATTATTACTCCGCGGATGTATCTTCAAGTTTAAAGGTTTTCCTTCGAATTTACTTTGATAGCTTTGTTAGAGGCCTTGAGTCATCGTTTGAAGGGCTCAGAGATAATAACTACTATCGAAATGAATCATTAGTTAATCACAACAATAGAACATAGCCGTGGATTGGGCACTAATGCAACGACAGCGGCCAATGCCCAACCTCAAACAATTTACGCAAATTGAAACGTTTTTAAACTTGCAGATTGATATATGAAGCTAGTATCTATTGATAAATATAAAAACGATACTTTTTCTTTCAGATATGACTTAGAGTTGAGATACTTGCTCAAGGCAATTTCGCCCGAAGACGCGTGTTTTCGTTTTCAGCTTCGTTCTGTTTACAGCGCCTTCGTTACCATTAATACGTACGGGGCATTTTTTTTGTTCACAGTGTTTTTTGGTTGTGTACGTCGATTTCTGCCATAGGATCTACAATCGATTATTGTGGCTAATAGGCACAGGCTCAAGGTGTAGGACGGGCGTTACAGTACTCACATTAACGCTGGCCGGCGAAACGATGAGAAAACTTCGGGCCGGCTCGGTGTGAAGTATCCAGTAGAGGCATAGACCCAGCGTGAGGGCCACGCAGTACACGATCACTATCATAGCGCCGCCGCGTCTGTCGTAGATACTGTTGAGATATACCAACTATAAGGCGTAAAACGCAACTATTGTCTTTGTTGTTGACGCTGTTTGAAACACAAGCGGGCGTGTCTACACGAAAACGCAACCGCTGACCTATATGTGTATTAATCGGCAGCCTCTGAGGACGGTGCTCACAAAACACGGCTTGAAGGACAGCGGCAGCTGATAATGATCTGGGACGGAGAATGAATAACAGATGGCAGCGCCGGCAATGGACGCCGCTAGCAACGCCAATTTGGTACCGTTTAACGTGCGCGACAGCGATTGACGACAGTGAGAGCGATTTCTTTACTGACCCACCGAGTGCCACCGCTGCAATACGAATCAACTTTGCTCTCTGATGTTTGTCTGATCTTTTCTTATCAGTTGGATCCGAGACGTTTGCTTCCTGCTGTTGCGACTGCTCTCGATCCTTTTGCACTACAGGGCCCGTCTTCTCGTCAACTTTGCTTTGATCTTGGGACGGGTTAACGACACGGTAAAAGAGCGTGATCGACTCGACCTGTTTAGCTTTATTCTTTTCGTACGTCACTAGTTTTTTGGCGACTTTGGTAAGTGCTCGTCGCTGCTCACGAGACCTAGCTTTGATTCGCCTCCTCTGGGGCTGGCTTCGGAACAAAACTGGGCCGATATTCGCTGTTTTCAATAGAAAATCCGTAGGACGCGCAGTGCTATCGCAAGTCCTGCAGGATATACAAACGATTTGGCAACTGAACTTCTGTAGTTTTCGCTGTTGCAGTTGCTGCTGCCTGTGACAGTTATTATCGAAAGAATAACCTACTGCTCTTATGCAGTGCTGACGCCCGTTACCGTCCCGATCTTCAGTGTATTGGGGTTGATCCCAGCTTCTCCTCAAAAATAGAGGAACCAATAACCGAGGTTCAGGCCGATTACGGTTGTTATATGTAGGGATGTAACGACAACTTTTCCGAACCGAAATAGATAACGATCCGACAGGGGACGCTTGTGTATACGAACGCCCGCAGCAGTCGAAAGTACGCAGGTTTTCGGCGGCCTTCTGTGGACGCCCGGCGAGCAAGAAAGACAGTTGGGACGATCGCGCCAACGGCAAACCACTCGCCGGGCGATTTATATTGATCACTTTTGATAGGACGTCGAACAACTGCTTAGCTGTTTCACCGCTGAAGGTACCTGCCGGTCCTGTTTGGGCTACTGGCTTAAGAATCCTAGCAACAAGGCCTCGAGCCGGTTTTGGATTATCGATAAATAGTCGGCCTTTTTGTGCCTTTTCGTTTGTAACCAACCCAGTGATATAGTAAATTCTTCGCGCTGCACTTTTTCTACTATGTGTGGCACTATTGGAGCTGCTGCTGCTGCTGCTGCTAGCTAGGATATTATTTTTTCTGTATAGTGCTTTTCGTGTTTGCAGTCTCTGCCGCAGTGTCAATGATGTTTGTGGTGGTGATAAGGATGGTATCGAGCGGCGGGGGCGCATCTTGGCCTCGGATCCGGACGCGTCTAGCGAGCCACATTCAATCACTCGCCTGGGATCCTTCACATCACCACCTCTAACTTCACCTTCTTTCTCTACTTTACGTCGCTATTTCACGCTGCTTCAACCCAGTCGCTCGCGACCCTGCGGTCACCCGTCGATTTCGAGGACCACCTCTATTCACTAACATTAGTTTGCGTTGCCCAGGTTAATACGTGTACGCAAAAAGCGTTTTGTTTCGATAGGGTATTCGTGTACTACACTTTCGGCCACTACCGCTGTTGCCGCCGTCGTAAACGAAAACGGACCAAGAGACGAGAGGATGTAGGTACTCGGCGGGTCCGATCGTGTTTTGTATCGTGTTGGGATCTTAATTTGTTTTAGTTTACCACGTTTCTGAACTCGGCTGTCTCGTTTAACAACTTAACTATAGCAAATTTGTTCTTAGAACAGATGTGAATACGTTTATCTTACTTTGAGAAGGCCGTGTTGGATCAGCGGCGGCGGTGGTTTATTTCATTTGATTTCAGCCAGAGACTATTCTATGCTCTACGGCAGGCCACTAGCGATTTGCAATTACCCAATATAGCTGTCATGTCATTACCTTGGATTCGGTGCCGCCTGACGCCGTGTTTGCTTGGCTTTTTTTGGTACAACAACGCCTACTCAAGTGTCGCGCGGGTACACGACGCCATCCACTATAAGGGGCTGTTGCTTTACATCCCCATATCTGTTTCGACCGTTGCCGTACGACGCATTGACGCTAATGTTTACGCTTGCTACGCTCACGATCCGTTTCGTCCCTGTCATAGTTCAGTCGTAAAATGTCCGCTTGCGAACCGTAGAAGCATGTAAGTCTAGATTTGCGGCAGGAGTAGACACATTTGGCTGCCTTTGTGGGGCGATGAAGGTGGCAGCTGTCGTCGAAAGCAGCGATGTTTAACGATGGTAGATTTGAACATCCATTGCTAATTCAATGGATTTGTCTTCAGTAGCTTATACTACCATCGATCTAGTTGGAGGAGTGTTGACGAGGACGGTCGCACGCGCCTGTGGGCTTCGCGACGCATAGAAATGTACTTGAAGCAGTTCAACTCGAGCGGTCGGTTAGTGCTAAACTTTATTCTCTAAAAACTCAGGGTACCAAGATTTGAAGGTCCTTTTGTTGTTTTTCCGCCGCAGTCACTGGATCGGTCTTCGTCACACTGTCACACTATTCTTCTAGCCAAATCAGTCCCCTTAGACCATTCTAGGAAAAATTGGCGCCAACACATATGTACGATGCCTGTATTGTTAACCAGCCTTAACCTATCAGTCGTTCGAAATGAATGGCTATGTAGACGCCAGCTAAGCACAACCGAGAAGTCGAAGATGGCGAAGACACTTATAGACGGAATAAAGCAAATAAAGAACGAAACTCTCACAACTTGTTATGATTATGGGCCACTTTGTCACTTTATTACGGTGGTCATGCACTAAAGAGCTATTGTCCGCCTAGTAGCTCCACTCGATCCCTGCACTTTCGCTGCAACAGTGGGATGGCGCTGATGGCACACGCACAGCCTCGTCTGTATTCTAGCCACACCGATCCAGGAACCTTCAACTTAACTTTCCCCTTCTTCTGTGTTTGCAGGGACCCTGTCTGCTTGCCGTAGCTGTTATTATGCTGCTTTTTGTGTGTTACAGGCAAAGACTACCTTATACTGCAGCAGCGCAAGCAAGCGCGTGTGCGTTAACTGAGTTTACGGCAAACGGAACAGCGCAAACGTAACGTATTCGCGACGGTACAGGTCAAGTAGAAGATATCGTTCTCTGCTGCTTCTGATAGCGCCGTAGCCTGCTTTAATCGTACGGCTACAGTAATAGCCGCTGTCGCGGTCGTCCTAATAGAAAATCAAATTGTTGCGCGGAGAATCATACGCCTTTGTCCCTACACGCTGTCTCCGTCGTAATTTGTTTGAGCATCGCCTTATTTGGCCACACCGCTACCGAAACGTTACTAGCTTTTAGCCGGCATAGATTCCACAACGCTGTTCACTCGAATGACGTCGCAAGGAGCGAAGATCTAACACAATCGTTTTTTCTTACAGTACTTACGGGGTCGATCGAGCTTTCGCTCAGCTGGCGGTTGTTTGCAGTTTGCTTTGACCTGTTTATCTGCGGCTGTTTGTAAATGCGTTTGAGCCACTACGTAATAGTATCAGCGGTGATGCTGGTCCTGCCGCTGCCGTTTGTACTGCAGCTGCAAACGTTGTTGCAAGGGGCTGTGCCTACTAAGGCAGGCCAGCGCAGGCCACCAGCTCCACCACACGCTGGAGTGAGTCTCCTTGCTGGTTGACAGCAAGGCAGAGCTCGGCGCTAGCTGCTCGTTGTGCTGCTGCTGCTCCTGCCCGCCCGGAGAATAGGGCGAGGGTTCTCAGCCACTCCGCGCTCCCCCGCTTTGCTGCCGTGCCTCCCTTCCTAGCCTACCCATACGTTTCCCATAGAAGCAGGCGGCGCGCGCCCCCGGCGACTCCGAGGAGGAGAGTTGACATAGCACCGGTTTAGAATTCTGCCATCGACGGTGGCGCCACTGCCACAATTACATTCAACTAACTTAGGAAGCTAGCGCAAAGGACCAGCCAGTCAGCGAACGACCACCGACGAAGCGACAGACGACGAGTGCGTTTCGCCCCAATTTCTTACATCCGTAGCACTGGCGGCTGCGCCGAGCAAGCGAGCTACGGCGTGAAGGCCGATCGGGCCGCGTTCATCTCACACCTGAACAACGAAAACGTCACTGCTGTTCTGTTGGCCCATCGAAAACCGCTGGCAACGCTGATCGTGACGACGATCGCGGCGGCAACGCCCGCGGCAATGGCTGTAGCGGGTGGGGTGGGGTGGGCCAACGCAGGTGCAATAGCGTTGCTCTACACCGAAAGCAGTGGCCTGAGCGAAGCAAAAAAACGTCCGAGAATATGGACTTAGGCACAGATAACGCAAGCAGGGGTTTTCGCGTACAGAAAACAAATAAAACGGTCAGTACGGAGCCACACAGACCCTAGATTCGCACGATGCTGAGAAAGCTTAAAGGCGTACGCTTCACTATAATATAGACTGTGCTTCATGTTCAACGATCTTCTATTACATCATTACATAACGCCGCTGTTCTATAACCCTCATAGAAGCGACGATAGCTCCGTGGCTGTAACTTAACGTAGATAGTAACTTAACGCTATAGGCTAGTTGAAACATATAGTTCGCAGAACCCTCAGAGCCAGAGTTAGCAGCGAAAGGGTGCTCTTTCTTATAATGGTAATAACGCCACCATTCGAGCAATAAGACAAATAATCGTTGGTTCGTATTCTACCGTTGAGATCTCTTAGTATTGGAGATTATCAGAGCATTATATATATAGGATTATTGTTACGAACGGGTGTTTTGTAGTTTAACAGGACTATTATCAAGTAATTTCGACAGCGCTTGTGGTATCTATGTTAATTTGTACGGAATACATAGCCTTGGTTAAAGTCACTAGACCGTAATGGCCTTTATATTGAAGGCGCAGTGACTGTTCTACACATCGTCCTCTATACGCATGCTAATATTTTATGTGTACGCACATACGTGCACGCGGCTTGTTCAGTGTAGGAATAATATACAATCACATATGCTGCTCTTATTAATGTTGCTGCACGTATATATGAAGTCTACGCGGAGTTGGCGGTTGCCTCAGGCCGCGATTTGATGACTAAGCCGGCGGTGCCTTAACGCTTGAACACCTGCTCTTTGCGGATCAGCTGAATATATGGACGAACAATGCTAGGATCCGTTGCAGAATAGCTAGCTTTAATACAGATGCGTTTACTGACTAGGGTCTATAACTCACATAGAAAAGCTAAGTAAAAAAAGACACCGTCAGCATAGCGGCTTTGCGTACATCTAACTAATTTAAAGACATACTGACAATTTCCTTCGGGAACAACCTCATCCTCATGACTTCATCCGTCAAGTTGCTTCCGACTGATTAAACTCAGTCTTGTATTACAGTCAAAATAAAATAGTAAATAACCGGTTATTTCTGAGTAGTATAGCTTTACACAGCGTATAGGGTAAATACAGCCAGATGGATGATGGGGCATGAAAATCTAGAAATTAATAAGGGTCTCACATATCGTCCGACCGCAGAACAGTAGATTATTTATTTCTGGGTAAAATTTGTAAAACGGCAAAAATCTATAAGAAACGGTCGCGTGGCGTTCTATGTTTTGCTTCCTTATAACAGTTAATTATATATTTATTATTATCAGGCGAGCGTCCAATCAGACATGCAGACGGAAATAGAGACAGTGGTTCCTTCAGTGGATTTGAAGTACGTTGGTCGTGAAGAGCTCACAAGTGTTACTATCCCGGTTTGCGCTACGAGACGATTAGACTAAGCCAAGCAGAGGTTTTACGAGAGAAAATTCTATACGGACAGGTAGGGCCTTTTGATATTCGCCAGTCCTATACTAAGTGACCTAATGACCCAGGAACGCGCTTTTAAAAATATTATATTTTCGATTAATAATTTAATAACAAAACCAAATAACCAAACATTAAGCTTGGATTGGATATGAGTTCGCCCTGCTCTTGAACTACATCTATATATGACGTAATCGTTTTAAACATTTTCATATTTTTGCAAAGTTTAGGTCTTCATTTTGTAGTCTTCGCTAGCCAATCATTGAAAAGCCTATCTGCGAATGAACATTGTGGTTACAGATTTGAGCTTTGCGATTGTGCGAAGAATATACATAGATTCAACCATATCATCATGGCGTATCCTGTATAAATCCTTAGCCTAATTATTAATGTAACGTTTCTTGGCTCTTCTTAATAAAAAGGCGGCTAAACTGGAAAAGATCTACAGTGAAAAAAGCTATATTCATTTGTGAGGTTCACGAAAGCTATACAAATACCTTTCTTTATTTTTAGACTTATCGTTTATTATAAACCTAGTAGTTCGTATTGTATTGACAATCATAACTTAACAAGGTTACTTCTGCCACAACTTATAAATGTAGTTTTTCTTAAATTAACAAATAGATATGGTAAGCTTTATGTGTAGTTTCTCGATATATTTGAAAAGATTACGTTTTCACTTTCTATCGCGTCTTGAGAAGGAGGAAGGCATCTGCTCAATCCTAGGCGCACGAAGGCACATCTTTTTTATTATTAAGTAAATAACTTGCAATTTTTGAACTGGCAAGTTTAAGGTAATGATTTCTCAGTATGACCTGTTATACAAATATAACAAACGTACAAACAGCCTCGTTTGTGCGTCACACATCGAACTGTGTACAGTGGAAGCTTTTTAATGGCTGTATACTTCCTGTTTGCTTTATCACAGCTAATTTTTTTAATCATTTTTTTGTTTTTCGAAGTAAATCGATATTTATGTAGCGTAAAAGGCTGCCAACTAACCCTCTTATTGCATAGAAAAGACTAAAACTATTCGGCTTAAGTCAGGATCTAGTATAGAGGGACTGAAACTAGTGTTTCATATTCCGACCTTCAATTTTGGACATGACGCTTTGACGTTACAACACGATGTTACATTTTCACCAAGTATTTACACAGTCTTGCAGATTTTATGCCAGACAAATCGCACGTACTTCTATCTAGGTTAGGGCTAAAATTATGAAACGGGGGGCACTTTGAGCCGAGATGGTTGATGCGCAATTCTTTTTGTCAAATATGTAACCGGCCATAGCAAAACAGACTAATTTGGGCCAATGAATACCTAAATAGAAACCTAATAATTAAGCTAAATATATGTCTAGGTCAATAGTAAAACCCTATTTGGCATCCCTTCCTCGATGCCTTTGATATCCAGATTTCACTGTTGAAATTTTTGAAATACCACTGATACGGTGGGCATGAACCTACCGTACTGAAGCTTTTTTTTTAAATTTTCAATAAATTTCAACAACGAACTAGCCTTAAAGGAACAAACCTTGTTCATCCTGGAAACTCAATTAATTTACGGCTACGAAATGTACGCCACTGCGACTGAGCTAAGCCGAAGGCTGTTCTCGCTTGAAAATTAAGTGCTAACATTGTCCTTTTCTATAAATCAGGATGCTGAGCACCGCGCAGGCACGAATTGTTGCTTGGAACAGCATACTATGCGTCCTGAAATATTTTAATCGACAGTGTCTCTCGTCCTGAAGCAACACCCCCCGTAGCAACAGTATGACCTTGTCGCTAGCAGAACTGACCATGTCTACGTCCGGTTCTCTATGAATACATCTCTCGAACAGCGGGAAGAGAGCTTAATCATAAAAAAATATGGCAAATCGTACTTTGCAAACCATCCGATTACAACAGGCTTTGTTATTAGCTGGGTATGTTAAAAGCAAAGAAAGTACTATGACTCACACCAATGGGACGCTCTATTGAGCTACTACAAACCCTTAAATATTTTAACGCTAGTAGGGTTACAATCTCACATTTGAAAAAAAAAAATAGGGATGATTAAATGGCTATGAAATAGCGATTTCTGCTGCATTAACTTCCGGCTATAATTTGTGCACCGATACCAGCAGGCGGGTGAGCTTGTCTCTATCGTTGGAGAAATAGCCATGTGCTACTGCCGACATCGCTGAGAACGTTTCTAGGCTATGACAGATTAAAATATCAAATCTTCACGGTTATAACCTATCAGACATTGACGACAAGCGTTTCTAATAAATAAACATATAAATAGATATGTGCTTGAATTAAAAAGATGTTTTTTTTCCGCCGCGTGTTGGTCTCGTCCTTGTTTCTGTAATGAAGCAATTAGTAGGTATATGTGTGTACATGTAAGGTATGTCATAGCAGTCGTTTCGTCCATTGCGACCAAAAGGCTAGATGATTATATTTTGCCACTAGAGATGGATGTGTTTCTTGACACTGTATAAATTCGATGTATTTGTTCAGGCTGCATGACGGAAGATTGCCTTTATCTTCGCCATTTTCATCATTCACTTTCGTCACAAGTGTTAAACATCTCAGAACTCGTGATGACAAAAATTCGTGATGAACATAGTAATCTGTCTTCGATATTACATACGTCAGTTCCTATTAACTGGTGTAAACTTTGACAAATGACGACTAACTAACATGCTGAATAAGAACGCAATCTTTTATTAAGAGGATTAATACGGGCAAATTGAGGGACACAGGATAACGACTCTCAGGGTAGCTGAAATAGCCTAATTAGAATTATTTAGTTTAGAAAAGTTAATCACGTAAAATTAGACCGTTTTTACCGTTCCGGTCGGCGTCTTACGATGACTTCAGTAATTACTGAATCAAACTAGTTTAAGCACATCTCAGTCTAAAAATAGCTTACGGAAAAGTCCTCATTCGCACGCCGCAGGGAGCGTATAGTTGATTTTGAATGTAAAAGAAACGACAGAAAATATATTCGATATTTGAAGGTAGAAACGTTAACGGTGAAAGGGGCACTACGCCCATAAACACTCGAGCTTTTAGTGCCACAAACCTAATCCTTTACTCTGCTGTTATTTTGAATGAAGACCTGTACCTTTGAAGCAGCTATAGTTTCGTGCACGAATAATATCTATGAAATGAAACTATCCAACGAAGCGATGTATCGATAATGGCACAACTCGTCTTCTGTCTTGCAAGATATTCAAATGGTGCAAAACGGAACTCTGTTATTACCACATTTTAACCATAAGAAACCGGAGATCCCCTATTTTAAAGGTTGTTCATTCCTAAACTGCTAGGTAAACGGTTATTT